ACCAAGAAACAGCCTTGATTCTCTCCTGCTCAGAGGAACAGAGAGCATCAGAAAGCACACCATCCATTTCTGCTTTGAAATCATTCCAGATGAGAATGATCTCAGCCTGGGACATGCTTAAGCAGAAAGGACCCTGGGTTTGGGCAATACAGAGGGTGGCTCCATTGTGATGCTCTGACCCAGGCAGCATCAGCTCTGAACACTGTCCAGTGATGCCACACAAATTAAGGCAATACCATAAGGTTAAAAAGTGCAAAAGCTCCTGTTAATGAAGATAAGACTTCATTATGTGGATTGTTACTGGACATTGGCCAGAACAACAGCATTGCCTTGAAAAATATTTGGAAATATTGTTCTGGAATTGGCAGTTTTCCATAACAATGAGTAGTCACACGACATTTACAGCTCCCAAAGGAAAGAGACAGCTCTGCCTGTGGAAAAAGCACAGGTTGGAACAGGCATCRAAGCTAAAATGTCACAGTCCATCATGTGGATACCAGGACAATAAACTGAGAAATGCTGAACCAAGAGTGAAGCAAAAATTCAGATGAAGAAGTGGTGGCCTGCTACATGGAGGAAGGGAATCATCAGGTGTGCTGTCAAAGGAAGGTTCCCTTTGAGCAGTGACAATGCCTCGTGGGATTTGCTGTCCCTGGGATCAGCAGCCACTCACTAACCATGGCAGAAGCAGCCTCTGCCTCTTTGTGTCACTTGGCCTTTGACAGGGTGTGAGGAGGAAGAGGAGAAAGGTCTTGCTGTGGGATGAGTGTGAATAAAACCCATTTATGTGCTGGGCAGTCCCACCCCTGCAGATGGACCATCCTCACAGCATCCTGCACAATGGACAGGCACCACTGAAAGGCAGCAAAAGGTAGAGGGAAAAAAAGTAGCAAAAGGTAGAGGAAAAGGAGCAATTCCCCTTGTCTCAAAGGCACCTCTTGTATATTCTATTTCTTGGCCTCAGAAGACTCTTCAGCAGGCAAAAATAAATGTTTGCTGCGTCTGCATGAGGTCATTACCAAGTGCCAAACTCTTCACAAAGTACTTTGTGTCAAGAGGGGATTCAAAGAGTCACAAATCCAGCACCATTCACATTATAAAAATAACAGTGGAAATGAAACTGGCTGAGTGTTTGTGTAGCCTGGTCCTGCAGCCAGCTTTTGGCCACAGCCACAGCCCACCGGTGTCAGGAGAGCCTTTTCACATGCCTCAGAGGGCTTAGGAACATGCCCAAGAGTTGTGAAACCTGAATCTGAACCACTCCTATTGCTCACAGGGGGACTGGGGGATTTCAAACAAACAAAACTGAATTTTAGCAATCTCTTCTGTGCAGGGAACACAACAGACCTCTCCCTATTCCCATGTCAGTCAAAATCATTTTCTTTCAGATATCACATCTGCTCTTGAACACAGTCACACAACAGGACTGTGGAATCACAACATCACGTTCCACACCTGATCTTGTTGTGTTTCCATCACTGAGGGAATGGGACCCATCTAAATTCCTGTAAACTCAGCCTACAGAGCCCTCTCTTGTCTTTGCCTCACTGCTGTAAATCAGAGTATGCTTCCATACACCATTTGTTCAGCAGCAAAGCTGGTTTGAGGAGCTTCCAGGTCCTGGCCTCTTGATTTTGTGTCCCTGAAAGTCTCCCAAAACAGACATCTATATGCCTTCCAATAAGACATATTGGCAAATTGGCTCCAGTTAAAAATAATCCCCCMAAAATAGCACAAGAAAATATTTTTAATCTGCATCAAATTCAGGATTTCTTCCTCTGAGTTCACMGCTCTTCACTATTGGATGGTTTAAATGGCCAGAGATAGGCTGTTCCATCACCTGATCACCAAGACAGATTTTAGGCTAACAGAATCACAGCATGGTGTGGGTTGGAAGGACCTTAAAGATCATCTCATTCCACCCTCTGCCATGGGCAGGGACACCTTCCACTRGACCAGGTTKCTCCAAGCCTCATCCAAGCTGTCTTTGAACAYTTCCAGTGATGTTAGACATCAGGTGCAACTGAAGCCCCCTGATAAGATAATGAGAATGAAAATAATAACAATAATAATATGAGACCCAAAGAAACCCTYTTCAGCCTAAAAGAACAAAGATCAGTGCCTGAAGAAGGGACCACCACGGTGTAAAGCCACCACTTGTAGCTGGTRTTTGCAGCAGACCCAAGTGGGGTCAGCTCTCAGCATCCTCATGACAGGTCCCATGTGATAACAAGGGTTTAGCYTTTATTGGCTAATTTATTTAATATGCATTTTTATGTTCAGACATCATTGTTCCAGCTATACCTTAATTCCAACCATATGAGTTTCAGAGCTCTCATCAAAAAGGGATGGTGGTTTTGGTCTGCCTTTCTCTCCTGAGTGTTTCATCCAAAATTCCATAATAGCAGGGGCTGTTACTCCTCACAAACTGAGCTCTGCTCTCTTGTCAAAGAAAACGGGGTGAGAACATGGCTCTGTTTTCTCCACTGTGAGCATAACCTTTAACTCCAGCCCTCTGCTAATTCCCTTAATTAGTGTGGTCATAAAGAGATCAAGGAGCAGGCACAATTCTACCTGGCAGCAGCCAAGGACAATCAATATCAGCCTTCTTTGAATYATATAAAACTTCAGTTTCTCTTTTGGGAATCATTATCCTCCTATTTTAAGGGTTCTCTTAGAACACTGGGAATAAAACACTTGCAAAAGGCAAGGGTAAGATGTTTCCCTTTTTGTTGTTTATTTTGGTTTTTGTTTTTATTGTTGCTAACAGAATTAGTGGATTTGCAGTGGGAATAGGATAGAATGAAAAAATAGAGGGAAACACCTCTAAACAGCAAAAAAAATCAAAACAGAATTATGTCCTTTAAGTCTGCTTTGGGTGTCAGGTCACTGATGTAAAAGGTGATAGAGCATCAGGAAAACAGAAGTACAGTGCAGGTTCTATAATTCTTAAGAAGAGTTGTCAGTTGTCTGTTTAAAATGTGAACACCTTCATGGCAAACACGTAGTCTGGGGTATTTTTGCTGACTCCATCTGATGTCACACTCACTATCTCTAAAGCAGGAAAAAAATAGAGGAGTCCAATGTTTCTGTGAGGCAGTGGGGACATCTGACAGGGACATTTATGTCATCTGAGGGCTTTGAGACAGRAGAAAGAGCTGTGTGTCAGCTGTTCTGCAGTGACTGCTCATGCACACTCTCATATATGCATATATTACATGTATATGTGGCACACTAAAGGGCAGAGCAAATTCTGTCTGTCCCTTGCTTATGTCCAACTCTCCAACTAAACAAATCCAAAAGGTGGAATGATGGAACCATGACTAGTGAGCCCAGAGCAGTGTCATCTCACCAGAATATGGCCCTCAGGATGTGATACAATTTGGCTGACACATCATATTCTTACACACACACACACACCAGACTGGACTCTGATCTGTTCTCCCCCCAGATATTCTGACTATATACAGAATGGTGCCCACACGAAACAGCACAAGGACTGCAGAGACCAGAACTGTATCTTTAACTTARTATGATTAAAAGGGAGAGCAAAGCTGTGGTTGGAGTCTCCCACACAACATGATACCACCACCTGCAATTGGAACTACCCCCTGGAGGAGTCTGTCCTATTCTCATTCTCTCTAATGAAATCACCAAGTGAGATGGGACAGATAGAGGTCTTAGAATATATTGCAAATTAAAACCAAAATCTCAAAATACTTGGATCCAAAAATTTGTGATAAACACCTGGCTCAGTCTGAAGAGTTTATAAACTATTTTTCASAGATTCATTCTGAGAGATCCTTGTAAAGTATTGGTAAAAAAAACAGAACAAAATCAAAAACTTTTGTGTTTTGAGACAGGGGTTTGTTGCCAGGTGAGTTGACTTCACTGTYTTAAGAGCAAAACTACAAAGGCCTCTCTACTCAGCATGGAATTAAGACAGCTAAATTATGGCTCATTTTTCACATTATTTATTTTATTTTATTTAAATATGTTACTTTTTAAAGACTTTTCTATTGTGTGTGAGCAGTTCATTTTCAAATTGATTATTTCAGGAAAAGCATATACAAAACTTTACACAATGATGAGAATAAAACCACTGTGTATCAACATTACTGTTTCAGTTTACCCCTACAGAAAATGTATTCAACAGCTAATGTTAAAAAAAKGAAAAGCCTGATTTTCAGAATTTTTAAAAGGTTTGAAGGATACTCTTTAGGAAGGATGAGATGAGGCATTTCTAATACATCCCAAAACTAAAACAAATTAGAAGGGGTAGCAACTATCCAGGCTTGAAACACAGCAAATGTTTGCACAGACCTCAACACACACAAGTTGAAACTGCTGAATTTCTGACTTGCCAGCATATGTTTCACAAGYTACCAAGTGCAACACGCCTGCAACTTTCTGTGGCTTCTCATCACAGCACTTGAGTTACATGATCTTTGGTGATGTGTGGGAATCCCAGCAGCCATCTGGAGCCACCTGCTTGGGGTAACCCTAAAGGTCTCAATTTTTGAGATCTAATCTCCAAAGCTATCTCCAATTAAATAGAGTTTGGTTTGGACTCACAAAGATTTCTTTAACCAAACTTGAAATAAATTGTTTAACTGAATCCTCAGGAATGGATTTATACACTTCAAGATATTTCTTCCCTTTGCTCTATGAATTTGAAAACAAACCTTAAGAGACCCAGTTTTTCCAGCATGGCTTGCAGCCCCCAGCCCAACTTTCCAGCTCAGGYTGCAAGGACTGCTCAGACTTCCTTGCACATTCAAGTCCCATCCCTGGTACCAGGCAGGAATAGTAACCACCAAATGATGACATTGTTTTTTTCCCTGAAGTGCCAAAAGACTCAACAGCATGTCTGTGTCCTGGGAATTCTGGTATGTGCTGCCTGCAGTGTCTGTTTCTCTCTGTTCCTGCCAAGGGCATGACTTCATTGAACRGTGTGATATTCCAGACAACACAACCCTGAAAATAGCACTGCCACTTACCTGAGCTGCCAGTGCCTTCTGATGCACTTCTGGATGTTTTTGGCTGGCTCTGTTTGCTACTTGTTCGTACAGTGACCGAAGGAGGAACGGTGCTGCTGCTGTCTCCACGAATTGTTGAGAGATCCTGCATGCTAAAGCTCCGTAGTCTCTCAGACAGGGCTCCCTGWCCCTGGTTAAACAAGAAAGTAAACAACACAAAGTTAGATCCAACATTTAGAGACTATTTTCCCTCTTGCTTAATGAAATCCATCAGAACAACAGGAAGARAAAAAAATTGCCTCGTCCAGTAACATAGAGATGACAAAAATGTGTTGCTGAAAGCATTATTCCCTCTCTTGGATCTTTTTTTTTTTTGAATAATTCTTTGGAAAACATCTCTGATTCTTCACTGCAGCAATTTGAGCTCAGAGCAGCCTTGGCCACATGTAAAGGAGCAGGATGTTGTTGTAACTTTCTAGTAGGTACTTTTCTTCACCAGGAATGGGTCAAATAGATGCTTGGCTTCAGAATGACAATTAAATGGCCTGCATCAAACTAACTCTCTTTTAAAGTTAATAATCTATTAACTATAATATTCACCTAGCCATTCTCACCAACACACATTTCCAGAGCACAGAAAATCTGAATTTTTAAAGCAATAAAAATACATTGTTAAATTATAAGAAATATTACAATGCATTCTTTCATGCAGCTTAAGAAAGACATAAACAAATGCAATATTTTTCTTTCTCGTTACACTAATTCTCAATCTGACACCAAAGATATTCCTTKGTGAAAGGAATGTARCAGTTCTTTGTAAAGGATGGGTTGGTTAAATGACACTTTTCATTAAAGCTGCATCCCATCAAAAGGCTGACTGGAAGTATTCTGTAACCCTCATAACCACACCACAGTCATAAAGTAGGAACATCAGAAGACTCGATCCATGCAGAATTATAGAATTATTGAGATTAGACAAGACCTCTAAGCTACATCAAATGACATTCAGAATATCAATAGTATAACTGATAAAAATTAGATTTACGTTTAAACATTTCATTGAGGGGTAAMGATCTGAAAKATACTTCATAGCATATAGTCTTGARAAAAATACTGAAGTAAACACATAGAGCCTGATTCCAACATTCTTTCTGCAGCTGTCAATCAGGAATATTCAATAGATGCTTTGACTGWGATGAAATCAGAAAGATGGCAAATAAAAGACAGTAAATATTGCCCTGTTTAACAAAAAGATAAGACACACTGTAGCAATTCACCGGCCAGTTTTATCTGGACTTGTATTTGTCAAAGTAGCACAAGCTGACCACTGCCTGGGGACTTAGGCTGGGGCTGGAGCAGAACACATCTCTGCTCCCTTCTGGGCTGCAGTTTTGAGTATCCTGACCCAGTGTGCAGGTCAAGGCCAGTGGGGAGCTCACTCTGGTGAGAAAGGACCCGTTCTGAACATCCACAGTTGAAGGCAACACTGGACACATCCCTTGCTAAAGCTGTTAGACAACACTAYCAGTTCCCTGTGCACTGGCATTGATCCATTGGGGAGAAAATGCAATAATTTACCTACAGATTGATCAACACCACTTCAGAAATTCTGCATGCACAGCAAAGGACAATCAGTGCCTCTACCTCAAAGAAAYTCCTCAGTGCCTTATTTTTAGAGTGTGTAAGTAGAGAGGGCATCAGGTGCTTATAACTACAGTCACTGAGACAGTCTGCACTTTTTACATTCAAGGAAAGTGACAGAGAAGTAATCTCCCAACTTTTCAGCCTGAAGCTTTTTGTACAAGAAGAATGGTTTCAAACTTCCTTCTCAACTCCACATTTAGCTTTCCTGCAGACTGCTACAGRGAAGCAGCAGACTTTGCTCTTTCTTGCTAGCCTCTTGTACTTTAGAAAGCATTTTAAAAGGATGGGGCTTCTTTGCTCATATACCAAGCCATGTTACGTTTCTGATTTTATATGCTTGGCAGGGGAGTCCTGAGAACTCATWCTTTACCAAACTCACACCTCTGCCATGGCATTTTCCAACCTGGCACAAGAGTTGATGCCTGAATTTTGTCTACTCCTGCCAGTGCTTGAGCCACTCTTGGGATACGTTCTCACTCCAGTTAATCCTCTTAGGCCAGTGTAAGGTAYATTTACTCTGCAAATGTTACTGGGCTGGTAACTGCAGTTGCYTTGCATGGCTGATCAGCTGGGTGAGATCTCAGCTGCCCAGAGCTCAGTGCACTTCTGGATGGGTTTTGGAACTTGCAACAAATTCCTGCACAGACACTCTATCCTTAGTGACTGATTTAAAGCCAACACAAGATATCCTACCCTGCAGCCTGATTACAACAGACAGATCTCCAGTGASAGCAAGCTGGGAGCAATCTGACCATCAAATAATATTTTGCTACTGCAGAATGACTGGGCCAGCAAAGCCAGAGGGTTAGCAACTGATGAACTACTGTAACTTGAGTGCTGTATTCCTCCCAGCTCAAGTGTCAGCAGGGCTCAGGGTTTTAGCCTCCCCCCAGCTGCTCTGCTCAGCCAGCTAACCCAAATTCCATTTCATTCCAGCCAGCAATTCATGTATGGGGACATGAGTCAGGTTAGAGATGAGATTCATGCGTCAGAACAACCTGGCAGGGAAGATGACACYAACACATTGAAAATGAAGAAGATGTGTTAATATTCTTGACTGCACCTTGTGATATAGCAGCAGGTAATGATCAAAGACACCAGAGAGAGCTTTGAAACAAGGGCCTGATAYGTGCCTGTCATCTGTGGGTCTGTTATATCAGTAATACAGAGCCTTGAGCACAGACTGAAGCAGCTGAGCTAAACAACTTTGACTTTCTCCAGGAAAAGGAATTCAAATTGCCTTTTCTTAATTTTTAATTYAACCTGAGTTTCTAATAGCAAAAAYAAAGATTGWTTATAACACAGGTAATAGCAAAAGATTACTGTTACTGTTCCTACCATTCTATGAAATAACTTGTCCAAATATCAGAAATGGCAAGAACAGCAAAGGCCTGGGTTGAGTAAGGGCACTGAACACCTGTGAAAACCTGCAGACTTCCATTTCTTTTCTTTCCAATTTCTGCACCTTTGGTCTTTGTAGGAATAGACTTGATTTAAGCTAGAGCACAGTGTAACACTCACAATTCTTTCACAGTTACCAAATTATTACTTGACCCCAAAGAGAAACGTGACTGAAATTACCACAGAATCAGGATGGTTTCAGACCAAAATGGAAAATATTGTTTACTAATTTACATTTCCCTGTTAGATAAGCAGCTGGTGTATATGAAGTCACAAACATTTGAAATGCCAGCATGGTGAGGGTTTGCACTGCTACATTTTACAAACAAAGGCTTTATCCAGATGTAACGCTTRTTATTCCACAAAAAGACTTATCATTATTAGCAAAAGAAAATAAGTTAATAGCTTTATTTCTCCACAGAATAGATTTAGCACAGCRCATGTTTTGGGCTGTGTTTCATGAAAACAATAGTGTGGAAGATGAAGAGCAGCTGCTTGGGAGATTTTTGTTTACTATGGTGGCCATGATCATGCAGATGCTCTTCCAACTGCTTCAGAAATGAGAGATATCCCAGGAATTTCAGCACAAAGAGAGGATCCAGGTCCTGAAGCAATGCCTACACTGCAGGCCAGAGGCCTCTGTGTTTGCAGCACATTCACACAGTTTTATCCTAGAGAGTTTTATCCTAGAGAGTGTGACAGCAGTAATATCATGACAGTAGCTGTAGTAACACCATTTCACTGTGTCAACAAGAAAACAGCTCAATGTTACTCCACAGCCTTCTGAAAAATGTGACTGGGAGGGCTGTGGGACTAAGGATGACACCACCTCTCTCTCTTCATCACTGAACACCAACAATGATCAGGGTGATTGTGCTGGCAGTGTGGGACCTGTGTTTTGGAGAYTTCAGAGGACACAAGCATGAAGTGGTGCTGGAAAACCAAGCCTTAACTTCCCTGAGCACAAGAATCCCTGCCTGGACTCAACTTCTACCTCATCCAGCTTCTCCTAAGACACACAATGTTCCTGTAAGCACAGCATTTTGATTTTACAGACAGTGAGTTTGCTAGATGGTGAGGTTTYGGTGGCTACAGTTGGGAACAGCTGTTTCCCTGCTCCCTTATCACTACAGAGTATCTGCCCCCAAATTCATCTGATCTTACCCACAGGTGAACACAAAGCACAAACTGAAAATGGAGCTCTTCAGGCCTCCTTTGCCTCTTCTTCCCCAGGTTCTACCAACCTCACAAGTTCTGGTTTTACAGGGAAGAGCCAGRGCTCAGTGCTACTGAATAGGACAAAAGACAAATACTAAAAAGGACATGGTAATATCACTGCCCAGTCACTGCTATCACTTGTTATCAGCCTTGCTTAGATTCATGACTGCACCAACAGTATGAGGGTGTTGGCCATCAAGACAAGCTGCAGAGGCTCATTTGTGATTCTAAGTGAAGTTAAAGCTCCCATTCATSTGGCACAGTAATTAATCTAAAGCTAATTTAAGTACATACGCCTGATTTGGTCAAAATGACTGCTGTAGTATCKACATTCCTTCCTCACCCACATTCTCTTCTTTTTGCTTTAAAGAGAAGGACAAAACAGAATTAAATGAACACTGAACTTCCAAAGCTGGCAAGCTGTACACTGCCTTCCTCTTCAAGTTGCAGACATCTCCATCATCATCTCCAGAAACAAATCAACCTCTGTGGGTCCAGAGCACAAACACTGATGCAGCCAGTATCTGCCTGGAAGGATCAGAAATCCTTTCAAAAAATTACATCTGTGCAGTGACAAGCACTGCAAAATACACTCAGAAAGAGCAGGAACTGTSTTAATTTCTTTACCTCTCTATAATTAATCTCTGCACTCACATTTGAATTAACATTTTTTAGAGGGAAATACATTTAGGAGTCTGGGAAAAACTGGGTTTGCATTCAGTGGAATTATTCATTATAAGCACATATGTAAGTAGCTAAAGYTAAAATAAATAAAATTAAGCACATAATTTTAAAATCTGCAATTTATATAACAGTCTCATTAAATATGATCTAAATGTAAACAAATATAAGCGTCTAGATTTTATAATTATTTCAGTCTGAAAATATGAAAGAATTCTTTATGCATTATTTAGGCTTCAAAACACC